TATCACATTTGCCTTTTATTTAGACCTGCAGCTTTATTAAAGCTTACAATGTCTTTTCTTTTGTTAATGAACTAATCGTGTAGAACACGATGCTTGAATGACGAACTTTTTTAGATGGAGTACCTGTGATAGTTCAGAACATCAAGGGCAAAACCGTTTTCGTTCCCGTTCAAATTTTTGCCAATCCAACGTGAACGGCTACACTATAGTAAAAGCTATATGTTTGTCAATTATTTGCATGAAATGAGAGGCCGGACAGCTCGACATGATTTGTTTTGAGATTTTGGCAGCGATACCTCAAGAACATATAATCGAGTAGTAAGCGAGTATCGAGTACTCGACGAATACTCGGTTGACCAAGCAATATACGAAACTCCAGATTTTTCAAAAAATATAAAACTTCTAATCAATTACTCGGTGCATGCCTAGTTCTTTTATTCAAAAATGTTTTATACGATTTCCATAAACAACACGAATCGTTATCGGTTGATCATCTATCATTGACGACTAACGATTTTCAAAGACTGGCTACGTTAACTAGTATATTAGGACCATTCCAAGAATGTTCGGAATTATTATCTGATTCAACGTACCCGACGAAATCATTAAAATACGTAGTGATTACTATTTTAAAAAATTTCTCGCAGTAAAAACAACAAACACAATCATCAATCAATTGAAAGTTTTAAGCAGCTAAAGTTTTAAAGCATGTTTATCTTATATTCGCAAATAGAATGGATGAAAATGAAGAGATTTGCATGTTGGTAAGTACTGGTATCGTGTTCTTCTTTTACAGGACGCTTTGTCTTTGTTTATATTTATTCTGTTTCTTTCAGATTGCTGCTTATTTAAATCCGGTAACATTTCCGTCGATAGCTTTGGATGATCGTTTAACAGTTAGAAATCATTTAGTCCAATTTGAACAAAATGGTGACTTATTATTACTCGAATGAACGCCATTAGGATAGTATATTAAATGAGCTCTTACAAAACAGGTCTCGTTCGTCGATTTTTTGTGACTAAAGTAGGAATATTCAAGGGAGGTTTTGGGATAAGATTAAGCATTGAGCTAATATGTCGTCACGAGATACTTTCCTAATGGCACTTGATAAATTGGACAACATCTGGGTATAGCACATAAAACTGCGGTGATATAAAATTTTTACGAAAAGTTGAAATTTTCAAGTTTCTCATACTATTTCAAATGAGATGTTGCTCTTAATAAATAAAAACCGCTTTTAGACTAATCCTGACACTTCGAACTTCGATGTTATCATAAAATTCAAAAGGAATTTTAAATTCTATTGAAGAAAATGCAAGTAAACGTCAAAAGTCTTTTAATAAGAACACTTTTTGAAGCTGGAATTTATAGACTATAAGTAATCGATTGTGGAACTCATAAAAGGAATGTTCCTGTGATTCATATAACTTACTGACGATTTCTATGAAGCCTTATGAATTTCCACTGGTTATTGAATTTTTTGACGTATCTCTGCATGAAGCCACGCTTTCATAGGAATTGTTAGTGAGCTATATGAATTACAGGAGCAACTGCTCATAAAGGGGCTTCCCTTTATGAATTCCATAATCGATTACTTATAGATCATAAATTCCAGTTTCAAAACCACCGTTCCGGTTCTGAACAGTTCCAGTTTCTTAAAGTTAAAAACTGGAATGGGTGCATACCTAGACGTAATGTTCTGATAGTTCATGCTAACTCGTGTTTATATACATCGTGAGTTTAAAAACTGCGCATTCTTCGATTGATTACAGCTAGGGCTGTCTGTTTACTTATTACTCGGTGTTACTTTACCAAGTACAAGAATTTGTTACTTGTTACTAGTAATTAGTAACGACAAATGCTAGTTTGTTACTTTGTTACTGGTAACAAGTAACGCAGTTGTTACTTCCCAGGCAGGAAAAAGTAAGTAAGGAAATCTAGCTCATCAAATAGCACAAGCACCCCCTTAATCGTAGATTTTCTGGGTCAAATAGCCAGCTGCGCCGAGTAAGTGCCCACTTGCTAGCTGCAAGCAGTCGATCCAGTGTGCGGTCGAAATCAAATACATCAGCTAGCTTCAACTCGCTTAAGCTAGCTTGGATGGGTTAAAAATTGGGTCAAGTAGCTGCATGCACTCGTTTCACGATTTTTTTTCTGCTTGGGTTATTGCTAGTAACAAAGCAACAAAGATTTGTTACTTTTGGTAAAGTAACAAAAAACAAGTTCTTTTTTTGTTTGCTCATAAAAACTTTTTTGAAAAAGGTTTTATGAGGATGAGGATGAGGATGGAATAATTGAATTTCATTAGATGTCTTATAAGTTATGACTCTTCCCTTAGCAGTGATGTATAGCTAACAATTATTTCAGGTACTTCTTTATCAGACGCTCCACCAGCTTTTAGCAAGTATTCCACCCTCACCCCCACAAAACCTTACTTAAGGACTCGACTGGCAGAAATATCTGCTGAAAGATTGTTCCTTGTTACTTTACCAGCAGTAACAACCGCATTACTTGTTACTAGTAACAAACCAGCAAACTAGCATCTGTTGTTACTAATTACTAGTAACAAGTAACAAAAGTTGTTACTTGTTATTAGTAAAGTAATGGTAAACAGACAGCCCTAATTACAGCCTTTCATGAGGTGGTTCACATATGGGACGCTCGAAAACTAAAGAAATTCTAAAATTTTAAATTGTTTTGTGCTTTGTTTCTACTTGCAGAATAGCGTAAGAGAAAAAAACGCTTCTCAGGGTCAGACAAAATTCCTTTAAGAATTGTTTGAAACGCATTGTTTTTGACAGTGTCCATCGTAAATGCATGAATGTATGTTGTAGTTAAAATTCAAATTCACTTAAATGTCAATTTTGGTCAACAAAATTCAACAAGTAGATTTGATACACACTTCCGTTATTTCGTTACATTAAGTAACGATGTTGTATTGCATCGCCCATTTCTCGTAGTTTTTATACTACACATATTTTTCATGTTCTTCTCTTTGACGCTCTTCATTTGACGATACCGTTTTCAGACACTGTTTTAACTGATAATGATAAAGACGTAACTATATTTTCATAAACTTGTACAATACTTTGGGCTCCATCAATTTTATATAGTATACCTTGGCTCTGAAATTCTGATAATAATTTCTCACTATTGTTTTGAAAAGTTGATATTCTCGTTTTAATAATATCATCTTTACTATCATCAACACGTTTTTCCAAAGGTATTCCACATTTTTGACACAAAACTTTTTCATTTATATCTTTACTATTAATATGACCACCTGATGAACATGTTGGACAAATTAAGCGTAATTTTAATCGTTCAGTAAGAATATTTTCTGATACATCTATATAAATAACTCTATCTATTTTTCTGCCACATTTATCTAATAATGTTTTAGCTTCTATTACTTGATCAAATGTTCTTGGATAACCATCTAATAAAAATCCTTTATCTTGATCAATATTATTAAAACATTTGATTAATACTGGATCAGTTATACTAGCTGGGGCATGTAAACCTTTTTCTAAATAAGATTGAATAATAATACCTAATTCTGATTGTATTTTGATTTCATTTCTACATAAATCTCCTGTTGAAATATGTTGAATATCTAATAATTTACTTAGTAATTGAGCCTGGGTTCCTTTACCAGACCCAGGAGCACCTAGTAATAATATTACTAATTTACTAATCAATTGAATATCATTATTATTAATATTAGAAATAGATAAACTACTGCTGGACGTCATTTCAGAGACAAAACAAAATAATATACTAGTAATGTGGCGTTCTGGTGATAAAATTATGAAAGATCCGAATCGCAATCTCGTTGATTCAAGCCAAAGTATGAAGGAGAAAAAACTAAAAAATATGAAGCTTATAAGTTAGATTGTAGATATATTGTGTCAATTTGATTAATAATAAATATATAACATTCGTTTTCTACAGAAAATTTGTATATTCACAACAGAGACACATTTGAATGAGAGAATCGTGAGAGTAAGAAGAAAAGAGCAAAATGCAAAGAATTGACAATGACATAGCTTTTTACCTGCGTGTAAATATTTGAAACAAACTATTCGTCCTTCGCTACTTAAATAAACACATAACATATCAAAACTTGATGATTTTTTTATATATTCAGAATCAGCGTGATGAGTTACGTTGTATGGCGCAAAGATCTCGTCGGGCTACACGCAATTTTCGGGTGTCAGAAGTCCACTGTATTCAACGGTATAGTTTATCGCTCAACTTCAAACATGCCGCATTTTATTCGTTCTGATTGTAATGTCATTTTTCTTTCTGCTTGATGTTTTTCCCTTTTATACGCATATATACAGACAAATATAGTAAGGAATAAAGTGAAAACTAAAAGAATTTTATCTTTTCATGGAATTGTTCATTGCACTCACTATGAAATTACTCTATATTCTGTCAACTTGACAGACTAGGCTAAAATCAACTAGAATGTACCCCTCTCCATTTTCTATGTCACTATGAAGTATCAGTGGGTGGCAACATGAAGATCTCTGCTATAATTGGTGCCAATGGTGCAACCGTGAAGACCCCATCAATCTGAGTATATATCTTCTCATTAAAGATAAAATATGAGTTCTTTGTTGCAAATATTAGAAGTGGGTTAAAATCAGCGCGTTCTATTAGTGTATTATTAGCTGACGAATCGTATAACTTTCTAAGAATAATTTCAAATGGGCTCATCTAATGGTACGTTAGTATAAAGACTGGCAACGTCAAACGGTACCATTCTTCCTTGTAAACTTCCGGTTTCTAATTGTTTAAGTTCTTCCACAAATGGAAATGAATCTTTAATCATCTTGTTCTTATCTATCAGTGGAACGAGGTCAGGTATTAAATCTTTTCCCAGACCGTAGTTGAATGTATATAGCTGATAACATAGATCGTATAGGTACGTCCTTTTTATGGATCTTTGGTCGTCCGTATAGCCTGCCTGGATTGGCACTCATTGGTTTCGCCTTGTAGTAGAACTCATCACTAATAGATCCTTGTTTACGAAGTAAATATATCAGACTATTTCACGTTTGATTGTGGAATTTTCGAACAAAATTTTAAATTTAGTTTTATCATCCGCTATTTTATTCATTTTTTCTATGTATTGAGAACTATCCATTATAACCATTCCTCGTCCTTTGTCTGGATAAAAGACAACCATTGATTTATCCGAAAGAAGATCTTTTAATATTCTCTGACGTTTTTCATGTTCATCGTTACCATCGTTGTGTTCTTTTCTAAGACGTTCTGCTTGAAATTTAAAAGAGTCGGTTAATAATTTTTTTATATATGCGCATAAGGCGCCGCTAATTCAAAAGAATTGCAAGTTCTTATTTTTCACTTAAAACTATATCATTCGATACAAAATTTCACGGTGATTACGAATATCACCTTTTGAATTGATTTTGATCCAGTTTTGGGGGAGAAAAAAGCAAAATACTAAGGTCGAGTCGAAAACCCGAAAAACTCGAAGTTTAGAGAAAATCTGC